CTAGAATAACTGTGCGTCTTCCGTTTTCTTTTCAAGTTGACGACGAAACCGAAGTAGTAGGCTCGGGCAGTGGCCGCCTAGTACATGATTACATTACCGAAGACGCCTTTGTCCAGCCGCGATGCTGCTAGAAGTTTGATTAGATAAATTTTCTCAATCCTTTTTTTTGTTGTTTACCTTTAGGTGGTGGGAACTTTGGCCAAGTAGTGAAGGGCGTCTACCGGACCCCACACGGTCAGGAGGTACCCGTCGCTGTGAAGACCCTGAAGGAATCACAGATCGCGTCTACAGGCGAGGTACACACATAGGATAACACCTTAAGTGCATTCATCCCTCCCGTTAGGGCCCGGATCCCTGTTTACTCATTTCGGTTTTTTTTTCGACTGTCATTTTTAGCAAAGTATCCTTTCGGAGGCAAAGATGATGACCCAACTGAAACACAGGCATATTGTCCGTCTGATTGGTAGGTCACGCCGGCAACATTTATTGATGGCCGCACGGATTAGTAAAATTCTTTCTTTTTACCCCCGTTAATCTCTCTCTCTCTACCTAATCCTAATGTGTCTACTTTAATTTTAGGTGTTTGCAAAGCGCAACGCTTTATGTTGGTTCTGGAGCTGGCTCCCCTTGGTCCCATCAACAAATTCCTCAAGAAGCATCCGTAAGCAATTTTACTTCTTTGCCTTTGCTCCACTGGAAGTTTATCTCCGAGTCTGTTGGAGCTAGTTTGAGTAAGAAACTTATCCAGAATAAGCCCCAGTGTGAAAACGATTGGTGACCAGATGGTTCATATACAAAAACTGTCAGCCAAACTAACAATGAAGTTCCCCTTTTAAGTAATTCTTAATTATTTGGCGCAAAATATAGCCGGAAGATCCAATGTGCTCGGATGGACTCAAACTATCGATTTCTTGAATTTGTATCAAGTGCATTGCAAGGTAGTCCCAAACGAAGTTTTCTGAGACCCCTTATTGGCCCTCTTAGCGGAAGAAAAGAACAGGCATAGTCAACAATACATGCGGTTTTGTGCAAATTTCCGGAGAAATTCGGTTTAAGGTAAGGGTCAAACTCTGGATTAAGAGTAAGAATGAAATTAACCTCATGCCAAGGGTTAGGGTTGCAGTTCGTGTTACCTGTAGGGCTTAGCTTTAAGGTAGGGCTAGTGTCAAAATTGAGATTACAGTTTAATTTTGTTAGAAGTTAGTGCTAGGATTATGACACAGGCTTGCTCTACGTGTAAAACCTGTAAAGTTTACCCAGTACGCCCGATTTCCACGTTTTCAGAATTTTCTGTTTTTCTAAAATAGCTAGCATTTCTATAAAACTTTATATATTTGTATATAAATCGCAATATGACCCATTGTGAAGAACGACCATTACTTTACTGCTGTAAGACTTTGGCGGCCGCAGCTTGGGCTGCGTTTGAGTAAAAAAGAGTTACTTGTTAAAATCCTTGGATTTCATGAGTTAGGTAATCTGCTGTATACCACGGCATTGGCCACATACCTATCATAATTAGTCATCCACGAATTCCATACAACGCGAAGACAGCCTGCATTTAGATATCTTCTTTACGTTTCACTTGTGAGAATTAGGGGGAGGCAAAGACGCGAAGACATTTATCAAGCTAGTAACTTGCATTTCTGCAAGTACAGTGGTCGCAGTATAAGTTTGATCATTACTCCAATACCAGTGTGAATGTATTTAGGAAAACA